CATTCAAGGGCACGCTAGGAATGACTGGAACCCAAGAACTTGCTGTTCTTTTGTTCTTGTTGTTTCTTGGCAAAGAGACCCCACGACTTTATTATGCAAGAATGCATAACAGTCCACACATAAATCAAAGTTTTACAGTATACAATCATCTGAAAATGGATATTGGTTTACTATAAAAACCACTGCCCCTGTACAAGATGTCTCAATTGGTTTATTATGGTTGCCTCAGATCAAGGATCAAACTTGGTTGCATAAGAGGTAGCTAAGGTTTGTCCACTTGGGCTAACCCTGCCACTGAGCTTTGCTGACCACTGAACATTGGTTGATAATAGGCATTTTACAGAAGAGCAGAGAGAAGGGCTTTGACAGCATCTCCTCCTACCAGTGGCAAAGACAGGGGCTGGCAGGAAGAATCTGTCCCTTCACTGAATTATGTCTGGGGAGTTCCAGCAAAGCATAGTGATTTTTGTGCTTTCATTTTTGAAAGCCAAATGTTCTGAACATTGCACGCTCAATTCATAATCAGCCTCCACATTTTCCATTACTCACAGGAAATGGGGAGCCTGGATTTTAGATACAAATAGTCAAAAGTGGGAATTTTTTTTCACATATTGTTGTTGACAGTGTTGGTTAACATTGTACAATTTAGGGGATGCCACAGTAAAAGTTGTGGCAACTGTCTAGGGATGACATCAATCCACAAACATTAAGGGAGAGAAGAGTTTCTGCTTTCAATTGGAAAAAAACTGACAAGGGCTTTCTTATTTGGTTAGAAACATAGTCATTTCTTGATTTCCATGGGCTTAATTTCAATTCTGTCTCAGTTTAGGACACAAGACTAACACAGCAATGCTGATATTTTAATTCCTCTTACCTAATCTGTTTGGAAGATTTGGGTACATTAACTCTTTTTGACCTAAGCAGTTTTCTTCTTTTGTAAAAGATGTAAAGGAATTAGGTGTTCTGTTGCTTCTTCTTTGGTTGCATAAACCTCCTTACTAATGCAACAGCAAAATATACACATAGATTATCAATCAAGAAAAGAAATTTTAATTGAGAATCTGGTTGCTCACTTCTCTCAACAAGTATTTACCACATTTTTTTGCAATGCTATCAACTTCTGTAATGAGATAATAAGAGGACAAGTTTGGGACCCTGTCCCCCAGAGCTTATACTCTAAGAGGGGAAAAAATTATGGAAGTCACAGTGTCAATGTACAGTTATGAAATCCTCCAAGAGAGGTAAGAGCCCATCTTATATGATTTTGTACACTATTTCTATCCAGGTGGGCCAAGAGAGATTTGTGAAGGAAGTGTTTAATCTTAGTCTTGAAATGTACTTAGAATTTAGACATTTGGAAATGGGCCAGTAAATAATCAATGTCTATTAGCAATTAGTTATTATTATTAGCTAGCTATTGCTGGATAACAAATTACCCCCCTCTTCCACCCTCGAAAATATAGTGGCTTAAAGCAATGTTCATTATGTTGGGCAGCTTTTGTAGATTAGCAGTTGGGAGAAGCTCAGCTGCTCTGCTCAGGGTCTCGCAGGAGGTTGGTGACAAACTCTTGGCTGTGGCTATCTGGAGGACTGGGGGTCTTGCTTTCACGTGGCTCACTCTTGTGACTCTTAGCAAGAGGCCTCAGGGCTTCGCTGGCTGTTGGGAGGAGGTCTGTGTGGCTCACTGTGAAGACCCATCCACAGGCTTGCCTGAGTTACAGGGTGGAGGGAGATTTTCTGACCTACTTATTTTCATTTTTGCTTCATTCAATAGAAGTGAGCTACTAAGTCTGTCCATACCACAATCAACAGGGAGGGAATTAGTTTCCTTCTCTTAAAGGAAGGATATCCAAGAATTTGTGGATGCATTTCTAACACCTTCACAAAAACACTGAGGGAGATATGCAAAGAACGTACGCCTAGGTAAAGGCAACAACCATGAACACTTGTGCAGAATACACAGGGTAATCCAGTTCAGAGAACTTCAGACCAAGATAATTGTGGGAGATAAGACAGGAAGTAGGGGGGAGGAATTTAGACCCTATGCAGCAGGGCTGGGAACCTACAAGGCTTCTGAGCAGACCTCAGGCGCAATCGTAGTCATGTTGTAGAGGGTTCTCCAGCAGCAATAGGAATCTGGTCCTGGGAGGTGGGGAAGGGGAGAGCGGGAACCCATTCTGGACATCCAGGGGAAGTGGCCGGCCAGAGTAAATCCTGTTCTCCATCTCCTTCCCACTTCTCCATATTATAGATAGCTATAAAGGTTAATCCATTTGTACCATCTGACCTAACTGTCAGTGGAATCTGGCTGTGTTTTAGACGCTGCTGCTTACAAGCTTTTACTGGGCTGTAGAACTGAGTCGTAAACTTGGTGACTAACAATGGTCCTTTCCATGTTGATTTGGAGAAGTTCATCCCTAGCATGGCCCTCGTACTCTTGCCCAAGGACACATTCCTGAGTGAGCCTGTCTCATAACTGAAAGAAAAGTCTGATGTTATTGCTAGAATATAACCATCCTAAGTGGGAATTCTTCATGACAACACTGCTACCTTTTTCTTCTTAGTTAGCAAGATCTCCATTACTGGGAAAGACACTGTTTTTCCATAAGCAAAATGTTCATTTAGTCACTTCTATCACCATGTACTTTCACTTGTAGCATGGTGACTTTCTAGCTTCTTGAAGATATCCATTCCTGTCACATAGGCAAAGGGCACTAAAAAGCCAAGTGCATGGCCAGGCTCAGTTGGAATCTCAACATAGTTGCCTTGACTTACCCCTTGTGATGCAAAAAACATGAGGACCTCAGAATATAGGATCTCTTTCCCCTTCTCTTTCTTGATGTATATGAATTCATGTTTTATAAGTGTTTGGCATTTAATTAATCATTTTCTTAATTATTGTTTGAGCATTAGTTTATTTTCTTACCAACTGAAGTGGTGTAGCAGCTGTAGTATCTTTCAGGTCAATATAAACAATATCAAATTCATATAATGCATAGACCAATATTTTGTGCATCTTTTGAGTGGAAGTCTAAGGTGTGCCACTACGTTGTGGGCACTGACTAAATCCTCAATTGAAAAATATCACTTGGGTGAGACTGGTGATCCCCTTTACCTTCTCAACATGTACATATTCCCCACAAGTGTTTTATCCATTTCCTTTGTACCTCTAAGTCCCAACTGTAACTCAAAGCCAGGATTGCAATCCATTACACCTGCCCACCCCGTCTTTACCTTGGCTAAAAAGAAGTTGTGTTGCACAAATGCAGAGTGGTTTCCTGAGAGCACAGAGCCAAGTCCTAGTGGGTCATCATGCATTACAGTGAATTTTCTGAGCCTAGTGCTCTAGTCAATAAAAACACATAAAAGAACCTTTTACCTCTCATGGAAGTCCCTCCGACTCCCTCCATAAATCTCATAACCCAACACCAAATGGAGTCAAGATGAGAAATCTGTGACTGGTAGTTCCTTTTTTCCCCCTTGGCAGAAGAGACAGAAGGGTGTCCTCCTTGATGTCCTGTTTCTCACCCTTTATACTTAAAGTAGTGAATGTCAATGACTATTTGGTAAGTAATTTTATTCATAAGAAATGATCTATGCTACCACAGAGTAGACTAAGAACACATGCACCCACATTATTAGAAACATGGGAATTTCTTTCAGGTGTAAACACATGAAAAGGTCTTTTAAAAATATACATAGTTTGGAGTATGTGCCCAGAACATAGTGGGCCCTCATTATATATTTCTAAGTTAAATAGGTGGGATAGACATTTGTGGAAGTATCAGGGGAGGCCAGGCAGGAGGGTCACAAGTCTGATCCCCACCTGGGCAATTAAACAACTTAGTGAGACTTAGTCTCAATAAATATAAAAAAGGGTTGGTGATGTAGCTCAGTGCAAAAGCTTGAGGTTCAATTCTTAGGACCAGAAAAAAAAAGAACAAATAGACAATCAAAGGAGAGTCTTTACTTAGTTGTTGACAAGATGATGGATTTAACTCTGCTTCCTTGAGGATCTGATGGTGTGGATAGAAATCATCTTGGGATTTGAGAAGCCAAGTGTTCTCACGCACACACGGTTCATTTTGGTGTCTGCTCTGGAGCCCATTTGCACACTTCGACAGTTTAGTGCTTCAGCGGTGGTGAAGACAAAGACCTTGAGCCCTTTTTGCAAGACTCATTTCCTATGATGCTGTAACCTCTAACACAGCGTTCACATTCCAAGAAATGCTTAATATTTAACGTGCTGCTTATTTCTCTAATCACCCTTCCATATCAGAATCTTCTGCTTTATCAGATAGGCCTCTTTAGCGATACAGTTTAATCCGATCATAGAGCATCTGTCTTGGATGACATCGTCTTCAGTGCTGATTCAGGAGTTTTCAACAAATTCAAATGTCCTTCCCTTGCCCAGGAAGGAAGATGGGGAAAGATTGCAAGGTGAGTATTGATTTACTATCTTATCCTGAAATTCTGAGGTTCATTCAGTCTTTGATAGGAGTGGATATAGGTTGTGTGCTGTGCTGGTTATATAATGTCATGATGTTTTCAGCTTCTTTAAAAAAGCTCATGAAATACTCTGCTTTCAAGAAAATATCCCAAGTAATGTGGAAAACTGGTATCACCTCTTTTTCCTTGAATCTTAGCCTGTTACTGAGTGGGTCCCTGAGGAGGTGGCTGTGGTCAGGAACAGGATAGAGCTCAACTTCTGCTCTTCAGGTGATTGAGTTAAAAAATGATGCTGGTAACATTTTGTCATGTCCATTTTTATGCTAATATATCAATGAAGAACCACTGAAGTGCTTGTGTCACATTGTCTATGTCAGTATATCCTGCTTTCTCTCTGCATAAAGATCTTTAGAAAGAGTCTCTTACCTTCCTTAGGACATGGCAGTTCTGGGAGCTGTCTCCACTTTTTGCTCAGTTTCACAGAGACCCTGTAGGTTTCTTAGATTCAGAAACTCTGTTCTTGCTAGGGCTGCTTTGGGAACCAGAATGGGATGAGCTGGGTTGGCATCCCTGTCATATGTACCCGCAGTGCCCCACACACTGCTTTCTCTTTTGTACAAGACATGGAGCCGATACTTGGCTAAACGAGGAAGTCCTGCAGCATGAGCCACAAACTGTGTTCTTTGGTATCTTCCTGGGGTCAGTCTATCTTGCAGGAGCTATGGAGTGAGATCAAAATGTACAGCGAAAATTTGTCCCAAAATTGATTACCGTAAAAGACTATAATTATTTATACTCTGGTTTTCTCAGTAAGAGAAGCCGTGTGGTATTTACCTTTCAGAACTTCGAGTTCTGGAAGTCTTTCCTGAGTGCCCTTATGAAGTGTGATAAAAAATGTGGTGAATGCTGCTGCTGAGTGGCAGCCCATAGAAAGGCAGGGTTGGCAAAAACAGTACAGTGTGTCTTCATTCATTGGATCTGGCACTGGGTGACTTCCAGCTCTTCTCCAAAGTAAAAATAACCATGAAAATAAACATTTCAAGTCATTTCAGGACATTGGAGGAGCCATGGTAGTGCAACTAAGACACTCAAGAAGGAGGACTTCCAGAACTGCTGCGGAAAGTGGCAAGAGCAATGGGAAATGGCAATGCATCTTTTACTGAAATAAGTTAAAAAATTAAATATTCACCATATTTTTCAGTGGCATCCCATGATAGATCTATGTGATTGGTAGTGTTCTTGCCAACACTATCTCATTGAATATTGCTGGGTGACTACAGTGAGGATGGGGAGATTTCCACTTGGAAACATCTGTGCCAGTAAAACTACACTGGTAAAGGATTTGGAACCATTGATCAGTCTTTATGTCTGATCAGTCCCATTTACGTAAATAAAATATGAAATCTGTCAATGCACGCTAAATGATAATTAGCATGCACTGTCACTAAGCATGTGTCATAGGGGAGCTGTCTGTTTCAGTCCTATGACTAAGCTTGCACTAAGATCATTACTCTGGCCATTATTCCTCCAGCAAATAGTTCATCTTTTGAAGCTCCCCAGTGGAGGCTTTACTGTGTCTAAGCCCTGCTTCTCTCCGTAGGTCCAGGCAAACAGACAGTAAGTATTTACACTGTACTGGGAGCTATGGCTTACCTGCTTTAAGAAGAAATAGCCTCCATCTTCCAAAGCAGAAGTTCACCTTTGTCCAGGGACAGATACTGGACCACAGGCGGTCAGGTTGTTCGATGTCTGGGCCTGCATGGGTGGTGTGAGTCTGACTCAGGCAGCTGCCTGAGCTATACAGAAGCCTCCCATTAGATTTCTAATGTTGAAAGCACAACACATAGCTATGCTTCGAGGAAACCATGTTGTCTCCCTGTTTACAACTGAATTTATATTTCTGGGGCAAAGCTAGAACAGAAAATATTGGGAAAACTTTGGAAAACTCTTCAGCAATCAGGAAGTTTCATTTTGAAATAGTCTATATTTAAATACCACTTTTTTGGTCACGAACAATCTCATGAGGCTGTGTAAAAATAGTTGTGACAGGCTTTGAAATTTAGTAGATGTCTTGATGTGCTCATCTATTTGAGTTGTCTCTATCTGTATTTGCCTTTGACTAAGAATCTTTATAACCCTGTGGAGAGGAAAGTGAACTTTTAGAAAACTGGTCATACTTCAGATAAAAATTCCTTTCCAGAGAAAAGTGAGTTGTGTTTGGTGTAATCCAATTGACCACTATCCCTAGGGGCATTGCCCATTTTGGATTATTTGTAAATTCATTACAGAATTCCTTTACAGATGTGTATATCTGTCATCTTAGATTTTAGTTTCATGAATTGTTCTGGAGACAAGTCCTTTGTCATATACATAATTTGCAGGTAATTTCCTTACTGTGGCCAGTCATTTCATTTTCTTAATGATTTTTAATTTTGACGAATTCCATTTTAACATTTGCTTGCTGTCGTATCTGAAAGCTCTTTGCCTAACTCAAGATCATGAGGATTTCTTGTATGTTTTCTCTTAAGAGTCCTGTCATTTTAGCTCTTATATGTAGGTCTATGATTCATTTTGAGTTAATTACTCAATGATGGGATTCCATTTTCACATTGTTTATCCCAAATAAACTCAAAATATGATTTATCCTATCCTAAATGTTAACATACCATTTATTCTTTCAAATTACAGACTCATTTGTTTATTGACTTATTTTTCTATTAACTTTTCCTTAGGCTCTCATTTTGTAGGTTTGGATTTGGGACTAAACTTCGTGAACTGCATGCATATGCAAACCCATAGTCATAATCAAACAGACAAAGAACTGCTTCCCGAGAATGCAGTCCTATTTTATGTGTGTTAAAAAAGAAAGATTTGGGGTGCCTTTAAAATTAGTTTCTTAAAGAGCTCATGCTCTCTTTGAGTGACCTAAACAATCTCCTTTCTCCTTTAGAAAGCCAGAAGCCCTGCATGGTGTTGTACATTTATTATCCAGCCCTTCAAGCACTCTGAAAAAATAATGTCCCCAATGTTGTCCAGCGGGCCACAGGTCAGTATTCTGAAGCCAAAGCTACTCTTTTGGCATTCACACTTCCCAATATTTAACTGATCCTTAAAAATAGCCTCACACACTGTCTTTCATCTACTAAAATTTTCACCTTATGGCCCATTTAGGAGGGTGGCTAGTGCTACTCCTAAGGAAGGTGTTATAGGGGTGCATTGTTGACATTTTTCTTTGAGTATGTTCAGTTCTACTTACGTCCACTTTTAAAGTTTACTTGGCTGAAATGTGAACTTGAGCCAGGAGTGGATCTCAGGGCTCTTAGATAATCAGTTGCTTCCTATTCCCAACAATACTTTTCGAGGACTCTTGTTCCCTCCTGCAGTTAAACCCGGGTTCATTGCTCCAAGGAAGAGCAATGCTTTTCTTGTCAAACACACTGTGTAAGCTGTGAAATTTTCAGAAGAGCTGTCAGCTTCACCCCTAGAACGACGGTTCTGGCACTTCGGTTTGTGCCTCATGAGCTACACAAATAAACTGTCTCGATACGATTGTCAGGCAGTATTTTTTAGAAATTCAGCTGGGAGGATTTATGAACAACGTGCAATCCGTCTGCTCTTCTGCAGGTCTGAAGTCCACCAGGTTAAGTCCCATCACTAAGAGCTGGATGCACAGAGCTCCTGGCACTGGTTCTCTGCAGGGTTGTGTCCCTGCGGTGTTGGCATGGAGGCCTGAGCACATGCTAATGAGTGCTGCAAGAGAGACCCACGTGGACCTCACAGCTCTATGAGGACGTGGCTGAATATCCTGTTTAATATAACAACCTTTCCATGTCCTTGTGTTCTTCTCAGCTTTCCACATTAGGAAACTTCCTCTGATTTATCAGGGAATGAAACAGATCCCCAGGCTGTGATCCACCTCCATCCACCTCTGAGGTTTTCCGATTCTATTAACTAAAAAATTATTTTCCCCCAAGAGTCTCTCTTCTGCTATTTGTGGATGAGGATTTCCCTCCTGTTTTGTTGCTGTACTTGGGTGGGGGGCGGGGGGCGGGTAGAAGGGAAATGTCTTTCATGTCCTCACTCCTAAGATTCATATAGATTGTTCATTTCTCAGTCATTAAACTCGCCAAATTGGTTAAGTTAGATTGTCTTTTATTGTTGTTGTTGTTTTAATTTTCATTGTTTTGATTAATTACTGGTTAATATTTTTCAAATATTTATTGATGAGGTTAATTGTCTTTCAAATAAGCAAACAAACTATTCTATTCTTTGTGTGTGAATATCATGTCTGTGGACCATTTATCTGATTGGATTTTAATGTCTTATCATATTGTATAACCTCTTAGTATTTCAGGGACATTATCCTTGGTGTGAGATAATTATATATATACTTATATATTTCACTTTGCTGCTTATCATTTGATCAGTTTATATTTTGAGAAATTGGAAGATTTACATTTTCATGCAGCCAAGCCTGTCTATCCTTTGTGATTTCTTCTATTGCTCTTCTGTTCATTCTTTTTTCATGCCATTTCAAAAAATATTTACCCCTTGAGGGTTCAGATATGAATATATAATTTTTATTAGACTTTTTTTTCCCATAAAGAACAGGTATAAGTATAGTGCTTAGGGCATAAACATGCATGATAAACATTTGTTGATATATTGCAAATGGGTACTTATTTAATCAGTAGAGTTCACTCTTCCTTCAACATTACACTGCAAATTCTTTTTATTTCAAATGATTACTTTAGCGATGAATTTTGTGATAAAAGATAAAATTGATGTCCAGTGGTACAGTAGCTGTAGAAGGTAAAAATCTTTAACATTAATATTGAAATATTTAAATTCCTTTTTATGGTGTGTTAGTTTCCTGAGGCTATTGGGACAAATACACAACACATTTTTAACAGGAACATAATAATCATTTGTGCCAATATTTTCTCTTGCACACCTACAGAGAATTTAAAGGAAGTCATGCTTTATAAAGGGCAGGGTTGGTATACAACCACTGCCTTAGCAATATTCTTGGTTGAATAAGAAGAAACTCTTTATTCTATACTTCAACTTGTCTGGCCTACCAAAAATCACATCTCTTTGTATCAAGTCTCTTGCGTCCAGCTTTACCACATGAAACACCAGCAGCTAAATAGGAAAGGACTACATTATGACATGATTTCACATCTAGTGACTCCATTTCTGTCAATTTTTTTGTGCATGACTATGAGATAGTTGAGCCAGTTAGTACTGCATTTGGACTCCCAGAGGACTGACTCCCGGAGAGGAGAGAAATCCTGCAGTCAGTTGGAAGCCTCATGTCTTAACAGAATTATGATTCACTGAGGGAGGCAGGGCAGAAAGGAACTCATTGCTAAGAAGCCAACAGCAGAGAAAGAAAAAGTACATTTTTGCAATGAAAATTAATCATAGCATTGTTCTTTTTCCTCATGTCCTAGTTAGATGCAAAGGCAATTTTACAGAAATTAGGATCACTACTTTTTGCCACATCTTAATAAAGCGTAGGCTCAGGGTAGGCTGATATTCCTATGTGGAAATAGGTGGCCAAATCAATGTTATTTCTCTACTACTGATGAGTAGATCCTGGTAACCCTGCGATTGGCTTGAGAACTGACTCCATTTCGGAAGTTAGAGATCTTCTTGCCATTGGCTTCTCCTGGGAGTGTGATCCTGCAGCCCCTACCAGCTCTCCTCATCTCCCTCTCAAGGTCGAGGCTACAGAGTGAAAGGGCAGCCAGGCCCAGTCTGTTGGCCCTGAGGTGCTAATTCCCTCACGTGCCTTGCACAACAATCCTGGCTCTTACACTCTTCCTAGCTTTTGAATGGTGTCTTGCTGTTGCAGGCCATTGGAACTGAGATTTGCTTTAGGTGTTCACTGTGGTCTCAGAGACCCTCAATGACTTCTGGTTCAGACTTACTTCCTGTTTGCGTCTCAGTATCCGGCAGGACAGAGAAGCAAGGCAGGGTTTTCTCAGTGTCTTGTGGTAGGCTGGGGTCTCAGAGACAGTACCACTGGGCAGATGTGTCACTATGGAGTCCCATGGCTCTGAGTCCCTCCTGCTGTTGGGGCTGGTTACACACTGCCCAAGGGCAAAGGAGACATCCTGGGATTTTCACCAGGGTTAGTCACGTCTACACCTTGCTCTTAAAAAGGTCTTCCTGAGGTTCATAAACAAAAGTCCCTCATCGCAAAGAACCATCTCATCAGACTGAGACTCTTCTCCCCAGTGTTACCACCATACGCCTCTGGCATCAATTTTAGAATATTCTCTGTTTTCCTTCAGGTGAGAGAGGAGAGTATCCCTGAGGACTTCAGATCCCAGCTGCCTTTCTTGTGGATCCGTCTTGCTTTTTCAGAGCCTTGCTGTTTACTTTGACTATGGTGACTGGACTACGAAATAGAGAATCTGTGGTGTGGGAACTGGACTTGCAGTAATGTGGCATAGGTGGTCACTGAGGGGAACGCTATTGTTGAGGGAATTGTTTACTGTGAGCTCAGAAGTCCAGGCTGTGCCTTGCCGTGCAGTTGTGGCTCGGGGAGGGCGGTGGAGGTACTATCTGGTGGTCCCTCAACAGTGGCATCTCACTCTTACCAGAGTCCTCACCAGAGCCACGCTGCACCGAGGGGATGTTTTGTGGTTTTAATTTTATGTCCTGAACACGCACAATTGTTGGTATTGCTTGGATCATTACACTTTGGGTTTCATCCATCCATTCATTCATTCACAGTTTCCTGTGCTACGTACTGGGAATCTTTCTAGGCCATGAGGAAGGACTAGTGAAAAGCAGAAATGTTGCCTGAAAGAGATTTGTCATACTGAAATAGTTGCTTCTTTCTGAGGCTACCACTTTGCCTGGATTTACTCTTTCTTTCTGGTCTGTGAAGACAGGGCCACCCCAAGAGCTGCCCTGGTCAGAGCCCTGGGTTACCCATGGCCACACTTCACAGGACCACAGAACTACTCTGGTAACAATACTTGGGAGTTCATAGAGCGCCATCCTTGCTTTGGTTTTGAGATGAATCTGAGGACCAAATAGCACTGCTTAATTTATTGTTGTGGAGAAGAACACTTCACAGAGGATAGTGGCATACAGAAGGATCCTTGCTGAACAACTAACAAAGGCTTCTTTCTGTTGTAGCTGGAGAGCCAAAAACATTAATTCGGACCTCAGCACGGCTGCCACCTTAGCAGGCAGATGATTTATGTAAAAGCTCTTTGTTGTTCCTCATAATATCACAGAACTTTAAGCCCAAGAAGAAAAGAGGAAAGAGTAACACAGATACTTCTTGGAGAGATGGCAGGAACACCCAGCCGGCCTCCTTAACCTTCACCCAAATGAGATTTTTTTTTCCCTTTTTAATAAAAGATATGTACTTTCCCCAGTCTTTCAACAGAACAAAAAAAACAGGCATTCTCTTGGGCGCACTTTCTGTTAGGAAAGCATATAACTGAAGGAGGCCTCCAAGTCGAGAAAAGATTTTGTAAATACTTCCCAGAAAGACCTGCCTGACTGAGGAGTGAGAACAGAAATGTGAGATTCTGAAGGGAAGTCAAGTGCTGTCTGTTTGCCGGGGGTCCCTGAAGGGACATCTGTCTCACCTCAGCCTGTACTCCCCAGAGCATCTCCTCCATGGAAAGGAAGTCCTTAAATACCACGTGGGGCACTCGGTAGCTTTCTCTCTGCCTCTCTTCCATCATTCCTGGGAGTTACATACTGCCTGATAAGTCCCTTTTACTTTTACTCAACAATTATTTATTGAGCAACCACTGTGTTCTGGCTTGCAAATTTCTACATCAAGGCTTGCTTCTCGTTATGGTTTATGGGCAGGTATAAAGTGAATGTCGAAAGAGTGCAGATGTTTAAGAGTGAATTGCTGCGTGGGAGATAAGAGCATTGTTAAGCATCACACGGACACTCTGTTCAACAGCCTGCCACAATCCCTGGTTGAAGTGTATAAATAGACTTAAGTACTAATATACATAGAAGGAAAAACATTGTCTCAGAGGACAACAGAACCATCAATCACAGAATAATGGACTCAACATTTTCCTAAGAGCCAGTTAGTAAGTTCTAGTGGTCAACATCTGGTCCCGTGCTTGACAGATTCTCTAGAGGCATCTGTTTTGAGATATGTGAAGTGTGAGCATAATTAGCAGAATTTGTGGGTGGCTACACTCTGAGACAGGTGTCAAGACCGATTTTGAAAGAGGCTTGAAGGAGTCACTTGCTGTCCGTTTGTGTCTAGTCATTAGTTATCTGAAGTTCGCTCCTAAAGCGGTGACAGAGTCACAGAGCAGGGTATAAGTGGATGAGGTCACTGGCAGAGTTGCCAGGACTCTTCTGTGCAGACCCTGAGTCTTCAGACTTCTGGTGCAGTGGGCTTCATTCTTCATTCCCCGCTTGAGGAGCACCGGAAGTGACCAATCTCCAGAGGTCTGGAGGGTGGAGCTAAAGGGAGAAGATGGGTGCAGATTCTAACTCTTCTTTACCGCCTTGTTTATCTCTGCTCTTAGTGATATGCCTGGAGAACGTCAGGAAGCACCTTGTTTCTCCACCTTTCCTTATGAAATGATACCCTAGAAGAATTCTTACTCTCTGCATCATGTTGGCTGATGATCTTTAGTCAAGGAGACGACAGCTTGATAAGCAGGCAATCTGTTCTTCCGTTTGGATGACTTCTCATATTTATGACCACGCAAGCAAAAGTCATCAGCTTGGTTTCTTTGCTGAAAAGGAAGTGCTTGTGGGACAGAATGCATGGGAAGCAAACCAAGTGAAGGAGCCAAATCTGTGGAGTAGAAACCACAGCTTTCCTCTCTCTTCTCCTTCTGCTGTTGGACCAGGGACTTTTGATAGTGAGAAGAAAGGATCTGGAGGTCTTAATAGCGGCAAGTAGCCAAGCAGAAGTGAACCGACTGCCAAGAAAGACCAGGATTAGCAACTACTTTACAGCAAGGGAGCATCTTCTTCATTGAAGTCTCAGAGTTTTAAAGTCTAGTTCTATATTCCAGGGACTCAAAAACTTGCAGACAAATAGCTCATGGTTATACAAAAAGGGACATATGTGGAAAAAATCTAGGATTAAGAATCAGAAAATCTGAGTTTTAGTCCCATTTTTTTCTCATTTCCTGAGCGTGTGTCCTTGGATAAGTCACGCTGCCTCTGTGAAGTCTGGTTTTCTCCTCTGTGAGTCCAAGATAGTGACAGTGCCCTCTTTCCAGGATTTCTGAAAGCGTCAAGCATCTATGTAGTGCTTTGTAAAATGGGATGCCTTCAGGCATCTTAGATATTCTTACCCCCAACAATATAATAATGAAAAAAAACAATCAATGATGACTATGAACAACAGAAGAGTGGAAGGGTCTGTGCTCTACAGCTGCCATTTTATTAAGAGCAAACAAGCACTGACACTCATACCCTGAGATCTCCAATCTTCTCCTTCTGTCAGCCTTGTCCTGGGCTCAGTTTAATGTTGATGCCATATGAGCTGTGTGTGGTAAGCCTGAGTGGGGTTAAGACAAGCATAGCACAACCACAAACATTCATCTCCATCAGGACCAGGCAACTATATACTTATGAAAACCCAGTACAAATCACGTATACGAATTAAGAAAGCTTGGGAGCTAATACATCCAAAGTACTGTCAAGAAACCACCATGTGAAACCAAATTCCAGAACTGCTCACATGAATATGTAATTTCAAGGCAAGAAGATCTCTGCCTGGTTTGGGTAAATCCCCAGGTGTTGGGCATCTCTGTTACTTTTAGGTAAATTGGATGATATGTCATTTCCAAAATTGGGTTTCATAGCTTCAGTTTTCATGCAGTATTCCTATTGCAAACACAAGAAACATTTTTAATGTCATCAGATGCCCCCAACAATATTTCATGCATCTAAAGATCACATTGGACCCCTCAGCCAGCTGCTGGCTGGAATCCATCATTTGGTGGAAATTATATTACATAAGACAAATAAGGAAAATCTAATTTTTCATGTACACTAGGTCTTGGCATATGTTCTATAGTGGGCTGATAGATTTTGAGGTCAGTGCATCTGAATTTATTTTACATTGCTGTATTTGGTGTGTATGATACTGGTAAAAACACTAGATGCCCTGAAACCAAGATTCATGCTTCCAAAATGTCAATGTATCTTTTACTTTCATCACTTCCCATCAGCTTTCTTATCTTCTTACTCCCATAAAACAATGTTAATAAGGATTTACATGGTCTTGGGAGTACAAGTCAAATACTTCATGTTTATCTGACTAAAGAATCCCCCAAATTTCTGGTTTTAACAGAAGAAACTAGCTGTGGATCTCCTTGAGAAAATTTGTTTGTTTGTTTTTTTGAGCCATAGTTCTGTGGTTAGCCTTAGCATTTCTGCTCCCCCCTTCCTCATCCCACACTATTAAGCAGAAATCCCAACAATGGCATTCAACAAAGAAGTGGCAAGCCTCCAAGAAATATATTTCCCACAAATACACAGCTGAGAACATTAAAAATTGAGTAGGTCTGGTTTATGTTTGGTTCACCTTTGAATGTCTCACGCATGACTTCTCCATTGAACAGGCCAGGGACAATTCAGTAAAATCACTCAAGAACTATGGTATTACTGTTCCAACACCCACCACTGTAGCCTTTGTCTTAGATCATAGCTTAGGGCTTGTTGACAGAGTACATCAAAGAATGAGGGCCAGGTTGAAGACAGTTTGCAGTGTCTTTAATCATTTGGCGAAAGCTCGAGAGGATTTGTTCTGATTCAGCTAAGTAAAAATCCTCCACTTCAGCACCTCATTCAGGCATTATGAGGACCAGATGGGTTTGCACTTGCTGCCTGATTGCTACTGTCTGGTGCAGACAATCAGAATCGTGCGCATCTGTCCCGTGACATCAGGGAGCGCTGGTGTGGCTGGCCCTTCGTTTTGCTCAGCAGACCGCACTAGAGCATTTTTTCTCAATTCATATAAGAATGAAAAGTGTCCTTCAAAAGGCAGCTTGTCCTAGCCGTTTGTAAATTAATTTGTTAATGATACATTATATCAGGGTAGCACTTTACAGTTTACAAAGTACTTTCATTTCCTTGTTTAATCCTTAAAATAACCTTGTGAAATAGGCAGGGCTGTTGAATGAGGCTGAACAGCATAGGAACAAATCCAGTGCGCTGTTATTTCTGTCATTCAGTGTTAACTTATATATGGCCTAACATGGAATTATAGCAAAGTATAAAATACGGATGTGCCCCTAGAATATGTTTCTTTCTAGGAGATTATCCTTCTCCACGCATAATTTATGGGGCTCTGGATTTGGAGACATTTCCACTGTGGACCCACAATGTTACAGAAGACTGCTTTTGTCCACTGGGAGAAGGATTAGAGATGATTTTCTGGAAAAGGGTCTGAATTGGTTTAGAACACATTTCTTAGAAGCCCCATCTTTAGTCTGAAATATGTCAGTTTTGGAGAGGTTATTTTTGCCATGTGATTTTGAGCAAAATTGGCACAGTAGGAAGATGTGCCATATTTGTGTACAATTGCCTTTCCAAGTTGAAGAAACCTTAATTTTTTGACACATTATAACCACCTCAACAAAAACAACTTCTTTTGTTTTTCCACTTTCTACAAGTATCCAGTATTTACAAAATGGGAGTAAAATTGGGGTGGCTTTTCCCTTGGCTTGTTCGGGTCTTCCCCAGCCTTTCCAGGTATGATGATCATTCTGGTGTCATGGTTGAGGCATGGTTAGCTGGCATCTCCCCAGGGAAAACCACTGGTCTGTTGGCTCTCATGATGACCAACCAGGCTTCCCTCTCAGCTCCTCTCGTAGAAACATGGTTAGCCATGCACCTTTGCTTGCATTTCCTTAACCTAAGAATCGAGTCCAAGTTCCTTTTCAAGGACAAGAAGGCCCTTCATTATCTGGCCCTACCCCATATATCTGTTCATCGTTGTCCACTTCACTTCTGGCTCATCTCATACCCAAGTTTCTGTTGTCTCTGAACACACAGGCATTTCTCTCATCTCTGTACTTGTGTGCATTTGCAGCCATCATTCTCTAAAACACCCCTTTTCCCTGCTAAGGAGAGTGGCAGAAGCGTGGCTGCTTCCATTCCTCTCTCCCTGGTCCCCAGAGGCAGATGGGGACAGCCTTTCTTCATGACCTCACTGAGCTTGGACATTTCATCCTGGTACATGTTTTTTACTGCTTGTCTGCCTCCCAAGCAGGTTATAAAATATATGAAAGCAGAAGCCATCCTGCCATGGTACCCAGAAGAAAGTATCCTGGTCATCGTGGAAGGAATGAGTGAAGGACAATGTGATTCTGCAGCAGTCATTTTAGCTCTTTTAGATTTCACCCCAAAGCAGAGGCAGAGGAAGGTAATGCATCTTTTCTTTTTTTCTTCTTCCTTAAATTACAAAATAAATTGTTTTGAAAATTATAATCTCGATTATAGCATTCTTAAAAAGTGATTTTGCTGTACTTCTTGGGTTTACTAGAAGCAAGATTTGATGAAATGCCATTAGATGGTCACATAAGAATAGAAGATGGCAAGTGGCCTTACAAAAGATTGAGTTATAACACCATAATTGGCTTTCTAAGTTATCAATTGAGTGGCTTGATGAATAATAAGACTTACAGGTTAAGATAGAGTGGGAGAGGGAGAAAGATAGAGTTGTAGCAAATACAGTATTGTATAATAGGGTTATTTTATCCAGATTACTGCTTCACTCTGATGTTGTGGTTAAGGTGGAAATCTGGGATAACCACTTTTTCTCATCTTCTTAGATACAGTAGGAAGCCAGATGGCTTGCTATTGTCTCTAATGTATGACTGCAGATTCACAGCCAAGAAAGCAGGATCAGAGGGTGAGAGATGTGGAAGGAGAGGCAGGCTTTGATTTTTTGTTAACGTTGGAAGATGCTGCAGCTCTTGCCGCATGGAGCTCTATGGCTAAGATTTTACCTGTCATGCTTCGAATGACTTCTTCAACCTTACTCGTTTCCTTTTTACCTCTTCCCTTTCTTAGGTAATGGGTTGGTGTAAATACTATTTAGAGCACTTTTCATCTCTTGGCAGTTTTGGATAGAACAACCTTAAACGAAAAGAGCAAAATAATCAAGGATGAGGAAAAATGATTGTCCAGGATACACAGACACATGAGTCTTGTCAACCTCAAGAGATCATTGAGAAAACCAAATGATTCAAGGTCAGTGAAGCACCTGGAATGAAATTAAAGAAGGTCCTTAATTTATGTGCTTATTCTTAGCATTGAAACACACACACACACACACACACACACACATGTGTTTGCATATTCATTTCTTATTTCTTAGCAGCAAATAACATTTCAAGGTTGGGAAAGTAGTTTGAGATTACTCAGAGTATACTCTAGACATGAACCTTCATTTGCTCCTCTGTGACCATAGCCATTTATGTACCTTCATTCTAATCCTCTGGGACCATAGCCACTGAATGCTGATACTGTATACATACATCTACAGGCAATTCATTTTGATGTTTATTGTTATGAAGAATGATGATGCATATGATGTTGAGAGTTCCCCTCCTCCTTTTTATGTTTTTAATTAATAGAAGCATTTTTTAGAGTAATGTCACATGGCACTGCATTTCCCAAGGTGGCCCCCAGTGAGCTCTGCCGGAGGGTGTTCACACATCTGTGCAGTCACCTCCTGCATTATGCCTGGGCCAGTGTGGGGCTCATGTTGAGAATGAAATGCAATGAGAGAGACACTGTACCTGTTCTGGGACCAGCTGTTTGGGTACTGGCAGCTTCTGCTTCCTTCCTTTTGGATTGGCCTTTTCATGGGGGGAACCCTGGGCCACTGTGTGAGAAGTCTGGGTTATCTGGCTGGAGAAATCATGCACAGTGCCCTGATCTGGTAACAGAGAGAGGAGGCTCCATTGCTCAACTTTCCAAGTGACCTGCTAGATGACTCCAGCCCCAGGCAGCATCCAGTTACACTCCCAGAAAGACATGGAGGGAGACCACCTGAAGAGTGTCCCTGCTACTGCACTGGACCATGGGAGGTCCTGAGTGCTTGTTGTTACTTTAGACTCTAGATTGAGGTGATTTTTTAAAAAAACACAGCAGTAGATAACAAAAGTTGTATTGAAATATCAAAAACACATCTGAAAATCTATCCTCTGGTTGGTTCTTGGTTTTACAGAGGTCTTGAACTGCTGTGGGCCAGGCTGAGGCAGCTGGAGATCTGGTCTACCTCTGATTTAAGATGGGATTTATATTGAAAAATCAAAAATGTATTTCCAAGGGTCCTTGGAACCCAAGACAACCAATGAATTTCAGACATAAAAAATGTGTTCAGGGACTCTTCCTGCTGCAAGGCGCCCTCAAGTTTGACCTTGGAAATCAAAATCACAATCCTTTCTCATACTCTTTTGTGTTCCGTGGATTTCCAACTTGTAACAAAATTCTTCTTATCTTGTTCTAGTTTTCATAGCAGCATCTGTCTTTATCAGAAGTAAAAGGCATGGAGGGAAGACCAATGTACACCAAGATCATTTTGGGAAAAGAGTGAACTTGCAAAGACCTAAGGCTGAATGGATGATAAGAAAAGATGAAGGGAAAAGAAAGAGCATATTAAAATGAAGTGGTTCCTTCTTAAATCTCAGATCTTTTCTAATTTCTTATAATTTTTGGTAATGCCTTACACTTACAAAGCTCTTTGAGGTTTTCAAAGTCTTTTTCACTTACAGTAGATCATTTTATTCTTATAATACCAATCCCATGAAGTAAGCCAGGTTTTATTTCTCCTAGTTCAGTGATTGGATTTAAAAAATATTTTAAATTTATGGATATGTTAGGTGGTCATGAAAATTCTATTTGTATGTTATTTGTGGAAAAATTATCTATTCTAAGGCTTGACTAAAATTTGTTGAAGCATTCATTCATTCTTCACTAAAAGATTTTTTTCTCCCAAGATCAGAACTTTCTTTTCAGTAAAATCTTGCATAGGGATACTGTATAGAAAGATGGCTACTATGCAGTTATTCTAGCTCAGCCGAGGGCCTGGGCCAGTGGGTTGGAGCCTCCTTTGTTTGCTTGGCCCTTGGTTTTCTTCATCATTCTGCAGCCTCATCTTCATGTACCTTTGTAGAACTACAAGCAACACTATACCCTGCATTTTTATTGAATCCCAAACACGGTCAGCCAAGTATACTTTATTTTCCTGAAGGAATTTCAGCTAACAGTACATTTCTAACACAATTTAGTTCTTCCTTGTGTCTCTATGGATTTTCTAATTTCTGGCGCTCTCACTGGGTGCTACTTGAGATTCTTGGATATCCATTTACAGCATAGAATGGCAACTTTTATAAGGACCAGCAGTGCTATCCATGCATTCAGCCATCCACTTACCTATCCACCTATCCATTTTTCCTTTCACCATTTACTCATTCACCCACCTTTCCATTTGTCACTCCTCTATCCACCCATTCACCTCTCCATTCATCCTTCTATTCATCCATTTCTGTTCACTCACCTTTGTCAGCAGTAAAACAAATGAGGAAAGGATAACATACACTAAAACTCTTGTATATAGCAATTTATCCATCCATCCATCCATCCATCCATCCATCCATCCATCCATCCATTTATCCAGCTAGTAAATAACACAGAGTATCTTCCCTTATCAAGCCCGCCTTTCAGGATTGTACCACGATTCTCAGGATTATGGAGTTGTAAGGAGGGAGGCATCTTACTTCACTGGAAAGAATTATGTACATGATGGAAACATTTTCATATTTTAAAAGTACATCAGTCACAGTGCTACTTCTATTTTCCAGGACTTCTGTGAGGATTTAAGAGATAAAACACTAAATAGTACCGCTTAGAGTTCTCCGCAGAAAGTTGCCAGTACAACAAACAGCACTATAATTCATGCTCTCAGTAACTCACAATGATGGCCAGAAAGCAAAACCCAAAGCTGATAATTCAAGTCCATAGTACTAAATTCTATAATGATCCTCCAGAGAGGAAGAAATAGAAGCAAATTTGTGCCAGGAATGATTTATTCTAGTTTTTTAAAAAAGAGCATTATTTTTGGCTGTGGCAGTTTTCTTCTGTCTGTCCCTGAGAATGGGAATAGTTGGCCACATTCGTTCGCAGGAAGAAACTGAAGAAAGCTGCTGAATTTACAAGTTACTTTTAAAATAAGTTTTTCAGCACAGGGAATTGTAGTACTTTGTCTACTACTCATTTCCACTGTTGAAACTTGGATACTTATAAATACTGGGAAAAGATGAGGAAATGAAGTCGGATTTTAGGCTCTGGTTCAGGAAAGAAATAGACCCAGACTCTGGATGTAATGTCTGATAGGAAGCAGTACATTCCCCTGCTCGTTGCGGAAATGCCGCTTGATAATGAGTTTTGAACCAAGTTCTTTCTTCATAGCAGCATAATAATTTCAATCACTGGGGACACACTGTGATGCTTTAAAACAATTATTCTCTTAGAATGAACAAAAATAAGTTCCTTAATCTGCCTCAATTTTATTCAGCCTCTCATTCCCACAGGATGTTTTACTCAAATTTGCATAGCGGTCTTAACTCTCAAATATGATGTCAGCCTTTAGACTAATTGTGTTTTGGAGTTTTCTCCATGGATATCATGTATGGTCATGAAAATTATTTTTCATGTTGTTTGCAAGACATTATATAGGTTCACTTAGGTTGATTTATTTCCCCTCAGTTTACTTTCAAGTTAAAATGTGAACAGTGCTGTTAAAACTGCTCTTCTCAGGCTTGACTGAAATGTGTGAAATTTTCATTCATTCACTCAATTTACTTTGTCCTTTTCAAATAGTAGAAGAGGTAATAAGAAACACTGAAGATTCACACTGTAAGAAAAACTTGAAATCTTTACTCACATGAGCTTTTTATAAGCTGCTTTTCAGAAAGTGCAATGTGATTCTCATTTATGGAGGGATAAAAGGTCAATAGTATCCTGTTTTAATTTGGATCCATTTGAAGGAAACAATCTAAAAGGACAAAAATTAGTACAAATAGGAATGTCACAAGAACCAGTAGAATACAGCGGGGAATGTGGATTTAGAGCTGGATGAGAGTTTAATCCCAGCACTGACTCGTGTTGCCTGTGGGAGTAGTCAAGTTTCAAGTCTCTGAGCCTTCTTTTCCTTATCTGTAAAATGAAAGCAATAATGAAATGGGCCAGAAAGACCACGGGAACTTTCCCCAGTTTGAAGATAAAGATGATGAATCAGATTGCTTTCACATTGGTTTTACTACCAAACCAGAAAAAAAAAAAAAAAAAGGAGAGCAAAGAATTACATGACAGATTCAGGACACATGAAAGTGGGAGTGGACGTCTCATGTTATGCCTTGGATGCCAAAGGAGGCCCATAAGAGTCAGAGTGGCTTTCCAGAGTGAGCTGCAGGATGAGGGGCCGCTTCCGTGTCATTGTTCTCACTTCAGGTCTCTCCCTCTTTTCTGGACTGTTTCTTGATTGGTTTTGTATTTACTTCTCTACCTGCCTAGTGGATGTTGGAGTTGCCTAGAGTGCTGGCATCTTTCTACTCTTTTCTCTCTGTGAAGTCTGCTTTGGATGATCTCTTGCCTTTTGAGAAACCCAGTCTTTCCACGGCTTCCACTTCCTCCTACATGCAGAAAATACACTTATCTCTAGCCTACACCTGTAGCCTCAATGTCCTGATGGACACTTCTATTTGTATACCTCATCAGAAACCCAAGTTTATGCAGTTCAAACTCAATCTTCATCAAATATACTCTATTTCAGTGAACGGAATCCTCATTGGCTCATTCTTGGAAGCCAGGAGTTTGGAAATGACCTCCAATTTCTCACTCCTACCTTGGTTCAGATTATCTCTGTTTCTAGATTGTTTTCACCCAAATTCATCCTGTATTTATGTCACAGTGATTTTCGTAATATTTACAACAAATTACCTGAGTTGTTTGTCTGCAGTGCTGCCGTGAGTATCTATTGGCCCAGGACAAAGTGCAGATCTGTTTGCAGGACACATCTTCAGCTCCTCTTGTGGTTGGACTCTCTCTCCTCTTGTCCACATGTGTGTGCAGCATGTGCTCCACCTATGGCGGGTGAGCCCAGCTCCACGAACTCTGCATTTTCCCTTTCACCTGGAGCTTTGTGAAGTTAGTTTTTGCTCTTTCTTACTGAAATGTTCTTGTCT